GTAGTTATTTTGTGTCTCCTTGTAGTCGTTTTGAGTCTCCTTGTAGTCATTTTATGTCTCTCTTTAGTCATTTAGCATCTTTTTATCACTATGTTGCGTTATTCTACATAATTTTGCATCTCTTTGTAGTTGATTTCTGTAAAAGTCTCATCTCTGTCAAGCATAATTAAGAAACTGACACAGTAACCTAACACTTTACAACCAAAACAAAAATATCCCGGCTGAACTGAAAAAAATCATATATATTTTTTTAAATGCTTCGGACATATTTTGGAACATCAGATCCGTCTCTCTCCCACTAGAGGTAAATCATGTGGACAAAATCTGTATTTTTATACCATTTTTTCTCAATAAGTATTATTGTTTTGGTTTTGCTTGGTTAAAATGTATTTGTCATCGTTAACACGGGAGGACTGAACTGATGAATCTTCTTTCTGAGAATTGTATCATGATTTTTTTTTTTACAGTCAGTTCAGCTCGTGGGACAAAATACATATTTTTCCTGGAAAAAAGATGGATTCATTACAGTGTGAGCGTGATTACCATCCGACATGATATATTCTGTAAATCATGATATGGAAGCAAAGGATTCAATTCGTATTCAACGTGTGATCCTGGAAATTTAAATTGTGATGCATTCACACTGTAATTGCAAAATTATGAAATCATTCAGACACACATACAAACACACACACACACACACACACACACCACAGGTGCGTTAATCAGTACAACCCACTGCAATTTCAGACAAAATTGCATTTTAAGAGGTCAGAAAGTGGAAACAATCTGGTGCCTCTTTAAAGAAAAACCATATCTAACAGGTGGAGGTGTTCTCTCCTCTTTAGCCCTTTTCAGACTTTAAATACATAAAAAAACAATGGTTTCATCAAGCTGTTGATGCTTTTTTTATGTAAATGCTCCTCATTCAGTCATGACGGGACATTTACTGTCGCAGCTGGAAAACAGCTGAGGATTGAAAGGTTTAATGACATGAGGGACGGAGAGTGTTTTCTGTCACAGGCTGCATCACTGATGGATCTTCAAACTTATTTTGTTGTTGAAGCTTTTAATTAATGATTAACGATCGTCAATGACGACATGCGACAAGTTGCTTTTGAGTGAAGCTCAACTTCTCCTGCTCTTCATCCGCTCCACCATTTAAAGGACTGGTTTGATAGTTAGTCGCTTTCAAAAAACAATGTTCCAACTTGGCGGCAAACAGGGAGCTCCATTGAGCGTCCGCACAAGCCTGTCAAATTATCATCTTTTACGACCCACGAATGTTTAGATCAAAAACAAAGTTATAGATAAACAAACTCCGAGTCTCAGGCACGTGTGACACACAGACAGCACCAGCTGCCGTGTTTCAGTCAGTAAAATCCTGAGCTATACTTCAGCAGACAAAACCAGAGTTGTTGACTGTTGTTGAGTTTCAAAATGGACGCAGCCGGTACTTCCGTTTAACGAGTGACTGTGTTAACTGGTGACCCTCAACCGAATGTGTCCGTGGTTGCGCGCGGTCACGGCATCTGTGGAAAAAACACCAACAGAACATGTTTAAATACAGACTCATCTGTGTTAATATCTACACCAACCAAGTAGATTACTACGAGCAACCTCGGATGCATCTCCAGTTAACACGTCGCTATTTTAACTAAAACACTTGCTGCTCTGAAACGGTCACAATCATGTCGGAATTCTGTAGAACTTGAGTCCGCTGTTTGAAGCATGTACACACAGTTAGTGGAAATACAAGGAGTAGATTTTGATGAACCATTGTGTTGTAAATCTCAAGACATAGTTTAGCATTCAGACGTTTCGTGTTACGCCAAAGACTTTGTAACACAAATCAAGGTCTGTTGGGTGGAAATACAGACAGCGGATTGTGAATACATTTTGGACTCCATGGATTAAAGAATATCTAATAGAACTGAGACCAGTTCACTGATCCTCTCCTGTAAAAAGGTGTACGGATCTAAAGCTGTTATTTATCCTTTGTTGAGAGCCATGTGCTGTTTATCTGAATAAATCGGCTAAACTATTAAACAAACCAGCAGACAAAGCGTGATATCGCTGAGCTGTTCTTTTTGACGTGTGAGAGACGACACATGGTGTGAAAAGTCGTCAGCAGAGCAGCTTTCAACAGTCTGTCAACAAGGACGAGTGCAACCTGACAAACTGATTATCATCTGAAGTATTTTAACTGCACATGGATACAGATGCAGTTCAGAGTACATATTTAAGTTTTATTATACAGATGAAGATAATAACCGTATGACTTTGTAATAAATTAGTGGGTAAGCGGCAAAATTATTGAAACAATCAAATGAAATGCACAAAGATGATAAGACTTGAGGCAAAAATATAGTTTCATGCACTGATCAATTTTGAGATTGGAGAATATGTCTTCTTTCAGAATAGTGGAAATAAAACATCCTTATTTTACTACTTTGTCTACTGTTGTTTGTAGATTTCTCCTAAATTCACCAAAAGTTAGCATTAGATAACACCTTATTTGCATATTTAAACATCAAATCTCAGAAAACTTGTAATACTAAAAACATTTGTCTTAATGTAAGTAATCAACTTGGGAAGAAACCTACTTCATTTTATTTTTTATTTTACCCCATTCACCTGTAGTGTCTTCAAAATGAATATCATTTTATCATACATCTTTAAAGGTTGAAAGATTGTATAGTCTGATTTAGCCACTTCATAGCAACCGCCTTTTTTAAGACACTTTAAAGCTTCAAAATTCACAATACGGATGTTTACTGACATATTTTAATGGTAGAACAAAATTGTAAAATCTCTTCAGCTTGTGTTAACCACAGACCCTTTTCAGGCGTCTAACGAAAAACCCATTCAAAAAACACAATGACTTCTAGACGAGGGAGCCTAAAGTGCAAAATTGCCGACTCATTTATGATGTAAGTAATCAACTGGGGACGTTTCACGGTGATATCTAATGGTTGTAGATGCTCCCTTTACTTGCAGCGTATTCAGACAGAATAGCTCAGTATTTAGTGAAATCTTCCCGAGACCAAAAGATCGATACCACTCAGCACACATTGGCTCTCTCTGCTGACAGTTTCAAAGCAACATCAGACATTTCAAAAAAAAGTCCAAGTTTACTGAAATAGATGGTCCAACATATTTGTGACATAACTCTCTTTTGAAATGAGTAAATATTGTGAAGTAGAGCTGTGCAGTTAACGAGGAGTGAAATGAAATGGCCGGCCTCTGTTTACCTTAATGTCTTATTGTTACATCATGTTTCATGGATGATGTTCAACCCTGGAAAAATGAGTGGCCAGAGTGTGTTATTGTCTATTATTGACTTCATCAGGGCACCTCAGAGAGCATGATTGCATGGCTATAGACCAAAAGAAACATGCTTAGATTATTATTTTTTTAAGTAAAAGTGTTTAGCATCTGTATTGTTGCTATGGTTACTGCCAGACTGATCCACCTTTCACTCTGCTGACTCAAACTATGATCATGGTTTACTCGTATGTGATATCTAAGCGTATTTATCACAGCTCAATATTAGTCCGATGGGAAAACACTTCTGTATTTTGTACACTTTTTAGATGCGCTAACGTAAAGGCCACATCTTAGTCAATATGAAGTAATTAACCGATTTTGCAGCATTCATTAACATCTTTGCATCACCTTCCTTCTATGTTGTGAACTATAATAATGATTCTCCTCCCCTCGCGTCGGCTCAGGGCCAAGCGTTCAGTTGGCCGCTTGGCAAAACGCTGAATGTTCCCTTTTCGGCTCTCGAGAGGAAAAATACAAAAGTGAGCTTGACAAATAGGCTATTCAAACAGCTCTGCTAATGTCCTTTGCCATGACCCTCACCTGCTTTCTCACTCCTGAGTCACGTCGGCGCTCAATGACTCCGGCATGATTGGCTTTGTGAAGCAGGAGTGAACATTTTGAACAATGGATTAAATGTGTCTTTAAACTATGACCTCACAAGTTTTGACAGCGTTAATTTAAAACTATGATATTAATCAATTAAAAAATGTTCCCCTCATTTTTTGAATTCCATTTTTAATGCAATTACATTTACAGTTTCAGTTTCTTCCTACTGTGCAGCCACCATAGGTGAGATGAGGGAAGAGTTGATGCAATGCTCATCTTTATCTCTTCGCCAACAGAACAAGCTGAACACAGAAGTGACATATCATCAGCTTTTAAGTTGATATGTTGATCTGTTAGCAAACAGTTGCTTTATTTAGACACCCAGCAGTTACAGAGCAACATGAGGATTTATTAGGAATCTTTGTGTTTGTGTCACCTGATGAGTCTTAGTCCAGTATTCTCTCTCTTTCAACTCTGATTTTGGTCT